CAAGATTCTCTTGAGGTGTTTTGGGAGGTTGTCTTGCTTTTGTCGTGTTTCACAGTCTTTATTTCGAAATAGGTGAATATGATTTTTATGACAAACTTATCTTTATGCCAGTTTGGGTGAAGAATTCCAAGGTAACTATACAAAACTCCTGGAGAAGGGTGGAGAAGTTGTTGAACCTGCCTGATCGTTGTTTTTGAAAGAACCACGCTTCCCTGAAGGTCAAAAAGGAGGAGAAAAGAGAGAAGCAACTTGAAGTTGATCTCGCGTGTGAGCATTTGTGCTCCTTGCAGCAGCGAATGCTTCACTACGACAGCATGTTTTCAATTGATCACAAACGTGTGAAGAATCTGAAATGGGTGTTTTTGTCCTACCAGAAGTTAAGTGTTCAACACAAACTCAGCGGCGTAAGGCTGGTTTCATTATCTTAGCTGGTATCATGCCCCCCTTAAAGGAGGGAATGAAATAAGTCTATCAGTCTTGGTACAGACCTGGTCTCTGGTGTTAAATGGTAGGTGATTTAGCATTCTGGGGGCATCTGTATGTGCGTATTTGGGTGTTCTGAAACAAAAGCAGAGCTGTTACTGGAAATTCCCTGGCCAAATTCATCTTTCTGTAGGTGTGTGTATATATGAGCGTATCACATTCCCCATCTTGACCTTTTGATAGACGAATGATCCTTTTTTACTATCAGTTCGTCACTTAGATAATGAATGTTTGGGGATTACCAGTAACTGCAAAAATAATTGTACCAACTATTGGTGTGTGCGATACACAGAGCCTTTTTGCACCCAGGTATTCCTAACCTAAACTAATATGTTGAGAGGGAGAATATAATATCTGTTTTGCAAGTCTACAAATCTTTGTCTGGAAACTCCCAGAACTGAGCATTAGCTATTCTAACTGCTCCAGTTCTAGAAGCTTTGACAGAACTGGTGTTGTATATTACTTAAGCTGAGGGGGCTAAATCATCCTTCCTAGGCACTGAGGGCAGCGCAGCGATAAAAGCATGAAGAAATGTCAGTGCACTCAAGTGAAATATTAAGTACTGAAATGTGCAAAAAAATACTTGCTATTGCCGCTTTAAAGCTTAAGCGTAGATTTACTAGACCTGACTAGGTGGTAAGGCTTTAAATATCTGCAGAGGCATTGTAGTTTAGTGAAGAAGGAGTCTTGACAAATTAATTCATCTTTGGTCTTGAGTTAGCTTTATGTCTTGTAAGAATTATAATCGGTCAAAGTATATATAGGCTTTAAAAAGTTTATTAAAAGTAACTCTCAAAATCTGGTGAAATGCTTCATTGCTGACAGCTTTAGGTAAGTGTCTTCAACCTTAAGCAATCCTACTGTGATGGAAAAAAAGCATTGTATATGCATAGGATTATCTGAAGAACAAAAAGAATTTTGCTCCTGATTACCCTGTTGTTGCTTAATAGAAGGGTAGAATGGACTTTAAAAAGCTAATTCTAAGAAACTTGCACTGTTTTTAAAAAGCACAGTGTTGCAGCAGTGTGTGTGGCCGGGGAGGGCAGGGCTGCCTGATGGTGCTCCTCACCCAAGTTAGGATCATGGGGATCCCTGCAGAGGTTCTTGTTCAAAGATTTTTCTCAGATGCAGTTCCTGTCCAGTTGAGTCACATATGCAATTAAGCAATAAATGAGACTCAGTGATTCAAATTTTCCTTCCATTATCTGTTAAATCTCTCTACAAAGGTGAATTAGAAATTCCAGTTTTCAGTGCTCTTAATACCAACTAGTGGGACTGTGGATCTCTGAGTAGCCTGAATTTTCTCACTGGAATTATTAAAATCACACTTGTGTTAAGCATCTACAGGTTGTGGGCAACTGGTTCTGTGCGGAATGTATTCATGCATAAAGAAACATTGCAGTGAAGCACATCTGAAAATCTGATACACGCTATTGTAATATAATGTGAACTTCTGAAGTCACTTCTCACCATCCTACCTATCGGGGAGTATAATTCCAGAATGACTACTGAGTTGTTAAGGTGGCTATTTAGGAGCCATGGCTATGTTCCATGCTTCCTTCTTCTGCTGAATGATAGTCTGAGGACACCTACTGGGCATAGTGTTTGTTTCATGTCTAGTTTTAAACTTGTAGTTTATGCCTAGGTTTTTAGATTCTTTCCTGATGCAGCTACGGGAAGCACCAATATTATGAGCAAAATCATGGAAGAGAAACTTGTATAAATTGATAGTAGTGCATAAAAGAATAAATGTGAGATTTCCGAATTAACCGGTAACTCTTCTTGGTCCGCTTGGCACTTAGGTTTCCAGTTTGGCTGTTGGACAGTTAGTTAATACCTTGTCTAGGGGTCTCAGAACTTTCCTAGTGTAAGTTATGTTGGTTTTAGTGCTAATATTTCATGTAGTTTTATGTAAGAGCATGTTTGTTATAGCTCCTTCAGCTTCCAACTAGGTCAGTAAGGTGTCCTTGTCCCTATTCTTTGAACAATCAGCTCCCTAAAGCCAGACAGTGTGATAGCAATTTTGGGATTAGTGCTTCAGCAATTATAAAGTGGAAGGTCTTAAATTATATTTGATAACTAAGACCCGTGCACAAAACATGAAGTGACTTTGTCTTCTTTATTGCAGATCCATAACATGGTGGCAGTGCTGGAAGTGATCTCCAGCCTGGAGAAATATCCCATTACCAAAGAGGCACTTGAGGTATGTCACTTTCTAAGCATCCCTTGTTTTTTAGGGGGTATAAGACTTTCTCTCCCTATCTAATTTTCATAAGTGCTTTTTCTTGAAATAATATGTTAATTGCAAGCAATTCACAATTGAGGTATTTTTTTGTCCCCCTCGTGCTTCCTCTGACATGCAGCGTACATAGTGATTCTTTCTGGATTCAGATTCAGTGCAGCCCAGTTTCTATTTGTATAAGGCGCTAAATTAACCGTTACTTGTTACTGATTAATGTTGCTGAACGCGCCAGAATTACTGCTGGCTGAAAGCTGGTTGCCTTTTTAGCAGCTTGATGACCAAAGAATAAAGAATCTGAAATAGGAGGAATATAGTTACTCTGTTTCCGTAAAGCTACTCTTAAACTCAGTTAAGCATATTTCAATACTAACCTAGTTCATGAGATCGGGGGTATTAAAAGCTGAGGTAGCGGGTATAGCAATTGCAGTCTCACTGGCCACTCTCAGATACAGAGCCCAAATGAGTTTTTATGCTTAAATTATGAAAACATTTCCAGTCTGTGTATAGAGATTACTGGTGTAACCTGCTTTAACTACAGCTTTTATAACCTGCAAATAATTATTATATTGTTAAATGTGATTAGATGTAGTGTCTGAGTGACGCAGCTGCAGACACAGCTAAGCATTCTCCATGCTGCATGAGAGATGAAATGAATCTCAAAACAGCTCTGAGATTCAGGTGTGTAGTATTACAGAAAGTGGTGTATTGGGCCAGCAGTTTACCTTTGTATTCAGAATGGACCCAAATAGTTTGGAAGTACATCGCTTTGGGGGATTGGACACCTATTCTGTAAATGCTAGACACAATACTGAGATGATTTTTTTCTGATTGGAGAAGCTGAAACCTGTGTGATTTTTGTCAGCTCCAGCTATATTTCAATACGCGTATCACGACATGTTGCATCTTTCTCGGTCCAGTCTGTGTCTTCCTTTGAAGTGCTTTTCTTCATTAACCTGACTCGTGGAACAATTTTTTCAAGTGTGCTTTGGGAAAAATCAAACACGTCACTTCCTTCTGCTTATGGAATCATGTTGGGACATCTTAGGGATGCTTGTTTAAATTGGTCTTTCATGTCCTTTCAAGATATTAGGGAGTTAGGGAGAGGAGGTGGAGGAAGAAGAAGAAAGGAAACAGGCTAAAATTCTCAAATTTCGTCTCATGCCTCTTTCTGCAGGTCTCAGTTTCACTGTGGTGAACACACACTTTTTCCACCTCGAGTATTGCGCTTTCCCCTCAAATCTGAGCTTGCGCCTTTATTTTCAAGACTCCTGCTGATTAAAGAGTTCCTTTCTGATGTCTTTGACAATTGATGGCCCTGGTACTTTAGCCAGGGAACAAAGACAGGATGACTCAAAACCTACAGTAGGTTTCGTGTTGTGTTAGGCAGAGCACTGGACCAACTGGACTAATCCTTTCCAAAAAGGTTAATTTAGCTCCTAAATCTTTGTTTGTTAGGGTAGGCATTAAAAAGTAGAAATCTGTCTTAATGCTGAAGTCAGAACTTTGTTTAGAATAATTGTGTTGTTTTAAAACAACTTTTATTTCTTTCTAGGAGACGAGACTTGGGAGGCTTATCAATGAGGTGAGGAAGAAGACATCCAATGAGGAACTTGCCAAACGTGCCAAGAAATTGTTGCGGAATTGGCAAAAGTTGATAGAACCTGTAACCCAGAATGAGCCAGTGCCAAGAGGGTTGCCGAATCCACCTGGATCAGCAAACGGTGGTGCTCACAACTGCAAACCAGAAGCCCCTTTTCCTGCCATGGCTTGATCAAAGCCAATCAGTGAATTGAAAAGCAGGAATGATATACAGAAACTAAACTCTCCGAAAACCGAGAAACTGGGAAATCGGAAAAGGAAAGGTGAACATAGAGATGGGCATCAGGGCCCTCCTGCCCCAAAAGTCTCCAAAACTAGTCATGAAGTATTACAAAACTCTTCACCCCCTCCAACGAACGGAATTGGAGGTAGTCCTGAAAATTTCCCTAGTCCTGTAGATGTAAACCTACATGCAGGGCCTGAAAGCAGCAGGACAGAACTCAGTGAAAATGACAAACACAGTAAGATCCCAGTAAATGCTGTAAAACCTCACACCAGTTCTCCAGGACTTGTAAAACCTTCAAGCACTTCCTCGTTATTAAAGACTGCAGTGCTTCAGCAGCATGATAAATCGGAAGAAACTACAGGACCACACCAACCTAAGAGTCCTCGCTGTTCCTCGTTTAGCCCTAGGAATGTTAGGCATGATACTTTTGCTCGGCAGCATACTACGTACTCACCAAAGGATTCAATGCCTAGTCCATCTCAAAGGTCTCAGTTCTTAGATACTGCACAGGTGCCATCACCACCACCATCCCTGATGCAACCATCAACACCTCCAATGCCAGCAAAAAGACTGGAGTTCTCTCAGCAATCAGTAACTGAGGTGTCTCAGCACTGGCAGGAGCAGGTACCTTCTGAAAGCCAGCACAGGCATACAGCAGGGACACTTCAACAGCACACATCTCCCAGCTGCAAAACCAGCTCCCATTCTGGGGAATCTCTCACGCCGCACATTGGCTTTTCACAGGACACTTCAAAAATGGACAGTGATGATGCTGCTTCAGGTTCCGATAGTAAAAAGAAGAAAAGGTACCGACCTAGAGACTACACCGTCAACTTGGATGGGCACGTCACAGAAGGGGGTGTAAAACCTGTGAGATTAAAAGAGAGAAAGCTCACTTTTGATCCCATGACAGGACAGATAAAACCTTTAACGCAGAAAGATCCTTTGCAGGTAGAAATTCCTGCACTCACTGAACAGCACAGGACAGAAACGGAAAAGCAGGAGCAAAAACCCAACCTGCAAAGCCCTTTTGAACAAACGAACTGGAAAGAATTATCCAGAAATGAAATAATTCAGTCCTATTTAAACAGACAGAGTAGCTTGCTGTCCTCATCAGGAGTACAGACTCCAGGAGCTCACTACTTCATGTCTGAATATTTAAAGCAGGAGGAAAGCACTAGAAAAGAGGCTAGAAAGACTCATGTTCTAGCTCCTAACAGCAAACCTACAGACTTGCCTGGGGTCACAAGAGAGGTCACAAGTGATGATCTCAACAGAATACGTGAACATAACTGGCCAGGCGTGAACGGTTGTTATGATACACAGGGTAACTGGTATGATTGGACACAGTGCATATCTTTAGATCCACACGGGGATGATGGTAGATTGAACATCCTGCCTTATGTCTGCCTAGACTGAGTACAGTTTTGCTAAAATGCTTTTACATCTGCAGTTAGCAAAAATGGCAGACACTATGCCACTTAAACATGGAGAAAGCCTCCTGTCCTGGACAAACAGGCCCAACGAGCAGAGGGTGTGAGGGAGCTGGTTATTTACAGCTCTTTCCTTTAAATTCTCCTTTTGTGAAATGCTGCTACCAGTTTACTAACAATTGCAAAGGAAGGCATACGAAGGTTGATAAATTGAGTTCAAAACTCTATAGCGAACCAGCTATAAAAAAGTGTTAGTCCCCAAGAAGTGAAGATGATTTCCAGCACTTTCTGAATGCCGGAATCTTACTACAGGCAGGTACAGAGAAATTGTGGAAGTTACCTTAACAAAATATGCATCTATTTATTTGACTTGATTTGGGTTTTTATTTGGCAGTGAGATATTCGAGAGACAATGTGCAAAAACTGTAGTTTTATTTGTATCACATCTCTGAACATGATTGCGTTTTTAAAGTCATGTGGTACGGAGATTGGGTTTTAAACAGCAGGTGTTGCACTGCAGGCTGGGAAACCAGCTTCAGCTCAACATTCCATAGGCATCCACATATTTTAGTCTGGTTTCAGTTTAAATCCAGTCTCTGAGAAATGCTGCAAAAACTAGATGTTTAAAGATATTTTTGATCCCACCACCACCAGCCAAATATTTTTCCTCCTTTTCCCTTCCTGCAATCTTCTAGGAAAAAAAGAAAATCACCTTTTCTAGAATCTAAACGTAATGAGGGTGCTACAAGTTTGTAATTGTACTGTGAGAGGGAAAAAGGAAGCCTGTTTGTATGCTGGAAATATACTTGTTACCATTCCTTTAGATATTGTTTGCCTTATGGATATCCATCATAAACGCAATTTGCAAAAACAAAGAGCCTTAGTGAATGTACAGTAACTAGACTTCTGTGTTCTTGGGATGCAGAAGGGAGCAACTTTGCTATTTGGTCCTTTAAGTGGACACATTGTGATATAAATGTGGAAATAAAAAAAATTTGCACAAAACAGTTTGTGAATTATTTATACTTAACTGATTTATTTTTTAGAGTTTGGTCAATTCAGGCAAACTAAGTGATCATCGGCACTGAGAGCCCATTGGAGCAGTGTGGCGAAGCTGAATCCCAGCTGATGCTGTCTAGAGCAGCTGGCTGTTAGGGGTGCACAAGATGTCTTCCATGTATGTTGGTGGTATTCAGTCACGCAGGTTGTGTGTGTGTTGCTGCTTTTTTTTTTTTTTTTTAAAGCTCTGGTTGCATCCAGGGTTTGGAGACTGATAACCCAATTACTGTTAATGTACCTCAAAGTCTAAAAAGATCATAGTTCATCTTTTCTCATCTCTAATTTTGTAATATATTACTCTTAATTGTTAAGCTTCCTGTAAAGTGGCCTGATTAAGCATAAAAGGCTAAGAATTTCTATTAACAATAATTGCTTTAACATTTGGGACAAGTTGTTTTCTACAGCCTCCAGTGCTGGGCTTCTGTCTGGGGGAAAGGGAGAGGGGACACAATACCAAAAATATTGCTAGTTATAGTGATGTTAATTCTGTTAATCCATTTGAGCTGGCTCTTGCTTCTATGGAGAGTCTTGGCAAAAGCTCTCCTGCCTTTGAAAGCAGAGTTGAGCTCTTAAATACCAAACCATGATTTAAGAAGGGTGTTCCTTACCTGGTATGCATTAGGCTGGTTCATTCCATGGGATACAGGTTAAGGTTTGGTTTATTTTTTTAAGTCATTCCTGTTCAAACCTACTGCTGTTGTGATTTTACTGCTATTGAAATGTTTGAGTGTTTCCGAAATCTTACTGATGTTTGCTTGCTTCCGTTTCTGAATTCTGAGGTCTTAGACTGAAATTTCCTAACCGGAAAAAGTGGTTACCAAAAAATGTTTCCAAGTATATTTTCAGTTTACTTCCATTTTATCCTTCTGCAGTTGATGAGGTCAAACTGTTTCAGAGCTGGGGAAAGTCAGTATCTTGCAGTTCAGGAAGGCAGATTTGATGGTAGAGGGCTAAAAAGCTGGAAATGCTTAATTTTTTGTTTGTTTGTTTATGTAACAGTACTGTGTATTAAGGGACTCCCCTACCCCCTCCCTACCCCTCAGCCCTGCCCTGTTGCCCCTTCTCCCATTTTTCCTGAATGGTCATCACTGAGGAACAGGGTCTGTGCTCTTCTGAGGCCTTTGAATGTAAGGCGATTGTCAGGAAATGACAGCCTTGCATTCTGTTCACTATATTAACCATCCTTTTCTCCGCTGCTTACGTTTCTGCTGCAAGCGATGGTGCATAAGGGCTGTACCGAGTGAGGTGATGGTGCCCCAAGTTCATCACTGCTTTCAAGTTACGGCATAGCACTCGGCAGCAAACTGACCATGCTGATGCTCACTTTGCTGAGGAAGTGTTCCGTACTGGGCGCAGCCCTTTCCCTAGTGGTAGAAAATCACTAGAGAAATTTCAGAACGCAAGCTTTAAATCTTGTTACCTACCTAGTTTGTTTCTGCTGTAAGGGTCAACTCACTTGGATGTACTCCAGAGTGAGACGAGGCTTGACAATCTTTATTTCAGCATGCTAGTATAACCAGTTCTGTGAGCTCCAACAAATGTGAATAAGTTTACAAGGTGATTTTTTTGTCAATTTTGTAAACAAGTTCAAATGAAGTTTACCTGGTGCACGTGTGTATCTGCTGTGTACTCATTTTTGCATGAACTCAGTTTCTCTGCTACTTGATTTTTTTTTTCCTAACTGCCTTACGAAATTTGCTATTCTGATCCTAAAATCTTAAAATTTAATACACTGCCCTCTCTTTGCAATGAATGACGTGAAGCGGCTCATCCGTAAATCTTTTGGGAATCGCCGTTACCTGAAGACGTGCATGTTTCTATAGGTCCACTAACAGGACGTAGAAACGTCTTTTTGGAGGCGCGCACGGACGAAGTAGGCGGTAGAACCCCCTCCTCCTCCTCCTCCAGGTACTCGCCCGTCTTTTTAACACCGCTAGCGCCGCATATTCTCTTGAGTTGGTCTCAAAGGCCGGGAGCAACGGTCGCTTGGGGAGTAGGTGACCTTCGCTCCGTCACCGCGCCAGCCTCCAGCGGCCCCGCTGCCT